CCCCCCCCCTCAAACCCCCCCCCCCCCCCCCTCCCCCCCCCCCCCCCACCCCCCCCCCCCCCCCCCCACCCCCCCCCCCCCCCCTCCCCCCACCCCCCCCCCCCCCCCCCCCCCCCCCCCCCCCCCCCCCCACCACCCCAACCCCCCCCCCCCCCTAACCACCCCCTCCCCCCCCCCCCCCCCCCCCCCCCCCCCCCCCCCCCCCCCACCCCCCCAAAACTGGACTCAAACAACAAAAATATATTATAGTACAATATTCGTAAAACGCTATTTTATATAGTGTTGATAAAATTCTCGTTATATTTATAAATTCCTAGTCTAATAAAGTTTTATCTTTGTAATTTAAAAAATTGAAAAACGGGGGGACTATTATTCTGTATTCTGTATTTTTAAATCCCCAACTAGTTTTTAAAATTGTTTACCCCTCGTCGTAAATAATGTCCCACTTTTTATGTTTTTCAATATCAAGCCTGTACCCATTTTCCGGAATCAGTTGATTTTTATCAAAGGTATTCCCAATTTATGTGAGTGGACCAACAAATACGGAATTTATGGGCCTTCATGGGGGACAAAAAATGATTAAATTAATAAAATCACAACAAAATATAACCTTTATCGGTTGTCAACACACAACGATATTTTTTAAACTAAAAATAAACATTCATTCCAAAAATAATGAGGTATTTAATTGGTTTTTTACCACCAAAACCAGTTATATACTAATCCAGTGAGGGCACCTTTAGTGGCTAAATAGGATAAGAGGGTGGGCCACCAAACGAAAATGTTAATTTAAAAAAATATGTTCATAACCCTACCGCACGGCTCTTCTTGGCTCTTGAAAAAAAAACCAGGTAACAGGGGGGGATGGGCGCGGTTCTTATGGCTTGTGATGGAACGGAGGATGGTTAGGGAGGGGAACATACCATCCCTTTTCTGGTCAGTAGATTTTGATTGAATCTTTTTGTACATTTTTTTTATTTTTCTTTGTGGCGGGGGGGGGGGGGGGGACTCATCGGCGATAAATTTTGTCACTCGAGTGGCGTAAGTTTCGGGATTTACATTTTTAACGGATTTGCATTATCTAAAAAAAAACGTTTCAAAAAATTTTACCCTTAAGCCTGCGCGGGCCCCTTGATTTGGGAAAAAACGTTTTGTTCTGCAAAAAAACATAAAACCACTTTACCATCCCAAAGCCCAAAGCTTAAGGTTTCATAAAACCCACTTAATTTTAGCCCACCCAAAAAATGTAATTCAGGGAATTTTATAGGGGAGTGGGGAAGTGTGCCCCAAACCTTAACATATGGAAAATCACCTTATAAAGCAAATAGTGGTTTTTTACCTCCAGGAACTATCTCGATATTTGCAAAGCAATTCGGGCCCATTGTAGCACACATTTCACCCAAATTTCCAAAAGTTTGGATATTAAAAGTGGGGGAAATGAAATTAGGGTTCCTTAACAGTTCCTACACTCGGGGATATTTTGGATTAAAAACAACAAATTACTAAAGGACGGAACTTTTAATTTATATTTGCTGGTGGGGCAGGGGGCGGCAGTTAAACCTCCCCGTGGTTTCAGGCTTTAGGGGAGAAATTATGGGACAATCGTTAAACCTTTTTGCGTGGATAATTTTCATTGAATAGTACCCCAAGTTATTGGTGGGCCATTGCATTGGTGTATTTACTATAAGTCAGATAACCGCCTCCCATTAAAGTTAACTTTTGATGATTTCCTCCACAGTTTTTCACCAAATAGGTAATTGAGTTTACTTTCCAGGGGGTTTTTACAAAGGGGGGTGGGGGGTGGGGTGGGTACAGCTCAAACCTTTTTAGAAACTGAGGATAAAGTTCCGACTAAAAAAGGATTAAGAACATGAGGGCTGATAAGATAACGGACCATCTACTTTCCTTTTGTGGTATTGGGGTACCCGTGGTTTATTTGCTATTTATTAGGTTAATTTTTTAATCGGGGAATTAGGGTTTATTTTGGGTTATTTACTGATGGTTGTAATTCAGTACATGCTATTTGTTTACTTAAAAGTGGGTTCCCTTAATAGGGGCAGGGGGAAACCGGAGGACTTGGGCCCGTGGTCATTGAACATATTTTTACGGGACAAGGAGATGTTCAGGGACCCAATTAATGTGCAAGGGGGGAATGGACAAGGGAATGGGAACAAGGGGGTTGGACAGGGGATTGACAAGGAAATGGAAAAACCCGTTATTTACGACCCCCAAATTAATTCGGGACAAAAAAAAAATACCGTGGGGAAAAAAAAAGGTGGCCACTCTCGGTGCCTAAAATACACATTTTAATCCCTAGGTTATTGGAATCTAAATTCTGGATTGGAAAGGAGTTAATTGGAGTTACCTTCAAAACCAATAAAACGATTTCTTTCGATAAATACCTAAAAACCCAGCAAAAAGCAATTCATTAAAAAAACTTTGGATTTTTAAATAACTGGGGAAGATTGATTGTACAAGTATAGTATTTAAGTTGTTTCCTTTCATCTTTTACAAATAACTTTTTGGGGGCCGTTTAAAAGCCGGACAAGTTTTATTACTTGGTAATAAACCGAAAACAAACCAACAAAAACTGGGGAATTTTCAAGATGATTTGTGGATGTACTTTTTAACAATGGGGATTGGCTTGGCTTTTATTAAAAAATTAACATACATTTACATCCTCTGATCTTGGAATAGGCGTGCACTTTCTTGTTGAATGACCTTTCGGCTTCTCGTGACTCGTATAGGGAATTTAATGGAGTATTTTCTTTACCCAGGGGCTACACCACAGCAACCCCACATTAGCAATAAAGTCACATTCTACAAATTCCCTCAAAACTTGTTTGGCCGTATATAAAATTATTTCTTTTAATAATTAAATCAGATTAAAAATTACATCCCAATAAATTCACTGGGGGGGTGAAAAACTTCCATTCTTTTATTTTTCAGATCATTTACATAGTCAAATAACGCGACAAATCCCAGGGTCTCAAGGGAAAAAACCACGGGAAAAAAAAAAAAAAAAAAGTTGTTGAGTTTTTTTCGAGCCGATTTTGGGTTTCGAAAGATTATCCCTGGGGTTGGTGGGGGGAAAAATAGGGTAAAACTTTTGGGGGCGGGACTGGGTTTTTGTTTTTCCCGTTAACATTAAAAGGAAATACCGACGGCGGGAAAGATCCCCGTTCTATTTGGACTTATTTTCCAGTAAGTATTGTATGTATTGATTGGTATTAAACTTCTTCAATCGTTTTTTTTTTCTATGGGACAGTGAGACCATTTAACATTTACATGTTACCATGGGGCCGGGGAGGGGAGAGATCTCCATCCAAAAAGGGGATATTAGTCTTGCGTCATCTTGCCCGTTCAATTCCTTATTGTATATATTAAAAACAAAAACTTCGGGGGGCGGGGTTAATCAAAGTATCTCCATCCTTTTTCGGATTTTTCTGGGGCAGCCCAATCTTTTTTTCTTTATTTTACCAAATTCAATCGTGAGGGGTTTCCTTTTACGACTCCAAAAATCGCTATCCCTCTGCTCAGCCTTTTTCTTCCAATAAACGACATCCAATTTTAAGGGGCTTTTCTTTCCTAAGGGCGCCTGCCTCTTGCGATCGTTATTTACCCCCATTTGGCTGATTTCGGGTTTTCCATTCAAGGTACGGGGGGGGGGGGGGGGGGGGGGGGGAGGATTCCCATTACCACCACTTAGTTTTTAACGGGACCTTGGAAACGGTTGGTGGGTTGGGTCAGTTTTTCTCCCAAAAAAACACAGTTAGTGACATGGTTTTTGACTAACGGACTGGTGGGGTTCTTAAATTTTGGCCCCAATTTTCAGAAAAAAAAAAACAGGTTTTAGGTAACATGGTTTACTAAACCCTGGAGGGGTTCTTAACTGCCCCATTTTCCAGAGGAAAAAAAAAAAAAAAAAAACAGTTTTAGTAACATGGTATAAGGGGTTTTTCATTTTTTGGGTGTTTGGGGGGCCAAACCCCAAAAAAAAAAAAAACCATTTTATACCTCCAAGTTTCAATTTTTGGGAATGGGGTTTTTTGAGGGTTTTTATTGTAGTTTTTTTTTTTTGGGGGGTTTTTTTTGTAACATTTAAAAATTTTTTTGTGTAAACTTTTTAATCTTAAATTTCGGAACCTACATTTGAAAAATGGAAACAAAACAAAAAACCCTTAACTAAAAATACGGGGGGTAATAAAAAAATTTTTTTACCATTTCCCAATTGTTTAAATGAGCTGATTAAAGCCCAAATTTTTTATGGGGTGGGGTGGTCTATTTCTATTTAACCAAAAAAAAAAAAAAAAACAGTTAGTTACCCCACGGATTTTTTTCGACAGGTTAAGTTTTTACCGGGCAAACGGCGGCAAAAAGGGGAGTTGGGGGGTGGGGTTCTTTTTTAAACCTATTATCCAAAAAAAAAAAAAAAACAGTTTAGTAACCCGCAAAGGGGGGGTTGGCTTGTGGGGGGGTCTAGTGGACATGCCAAATAATCCAAAAAAAAACCTTTACCACTTAAGTCGGGGGGACGTGGAATTTTGGGTCCGGCCACTTGGTTACCTGATTTTCCTTCCCCCCGTTTCAAGTAGGATGTAAGGTAACCGGATCTTTTCCAAGGGCCCATTCCTACTGGGACATGATTCCAAAACCAAACCGTAAGCCGTTTTGTTTGCTTTTTTTTACTGTTCAGTAAAGGGAAGCAAGTTTGTTATTGAAAGCCCTTCCTTTTAAAAACATTTCTTTCATTTTTCTTAACTCGATGTTGGGAAAAACCACCTCCACTCTCCCAGGGAATTCTGCGTAAAGGCAGTTACTGATGTGGAAAGGGAACTCTTAAATTTTCTTGTCTGCACCTATGGAGTTCGTGTTTAACCATGTCCTCACTTTTCCATAGGGGTCAGAAATGGGTAAGAAAACAGCTGCGTGATGTAGATTCGCACCCACTTTGTTGTTAATGCTTATGTTCTTTACTTCTTTCCCCCAAAAAATGTTATTTTGAGTTGGGGTTAAAAAGCTCCGGTGGTAGCTTTTTCCAATCCCTGGGGACACTTATTTTCTTTTAGCGATCTTGCAAATCCGATGTTTAATTTTTGGCCACCCCCAAATAAGTGGAATTTGGAGTTGACTTTGGCTTTGCAGGAGTTTTTCATATCGGGGGGGGAACAGTACTATTCTTATGGGGTCCTCTTAAATTCTCTGGGGAGTGTGGGTTTGCTGCGGGACGTATCTTTCCCCAAATTAACCCATTGGATCCCGGGTGTTTTCTTTGCGTTTAAAACCCCAAGCACCACAGTTTATTTCGCAAAATTGGGGTCGTAGTTTCTGCCAGGTCCCTCGGGGGAACAGGTTTTGTCAATCCCCATTGCCTGCTTATGTGTATCAGCATAGTCCTCATCCCCTCTGACCTCGACTGGACCCAACAATTTTTTCTGGTTGGTCCTAGAACTTTGGTCTGTTTACTTGAAGAAGGTTAAAAAAACCACCGGGCGGGATTATTTGACAGATTTGTACTAATATAGCTCTATTACAGAAATACGTACTTTCTAATTGTGTAGAGTCAGAAGACCAACCTTCATTAAAGGCAAATATGTCACGCGGTGCCAAAAAATATTCAAACATAGTTACTGACATGTACAATCATTAGTGTAATACGAGTTAAGGATCTCAGTGTTGTATGTACTTTTTAGTTAATTTAATAATCATGAACATCTCCAATTTATTGCTTAGGGGTCGTTCACATATAACGTAATCATTTTTTGGAACATTTATACCCCTGCCCCCCTCCGTAATCAGTTTTACACATAGCTATTGTGTCAAAATTACACTAGCGTAATCATTCGGAAACCCCCCTCCCCCCTCAGCTGATTACGTAATATGTGAACGACCCCTTAGTGCTTATCCTAATCTGCCGGTGGTACCACATGTGGGTAATTAAAGGTAATGGCATTTAGTTCTGACAGAAAGTTAAAATTTAAAGAATTATATACCTCATCATACATCAATACACGATAAATATGTTCAAGCAACACGCGTGCCTTTTACACTCCAAACGCGGCGAATTTCAAAGGAAATCTCAAATCCGCGTGTTCAGAACGCGCGTGAAAGTGTTAAAATTGCATACTTTTATCAGTAATATTTTTAGACGCGTCACATTATTGCGATCACAAAAATGCGACCATTTTGTCGCCCTTATCCATGGATTGTGAGATTCTTAGCAATTATTTGGTGTAACTAAATCTTAATAAACATCGTAATTTAAGCACATTAGACAGAGCGGATAAAAACAGCATTATAAATTATATTTACACAAAAGTCAAATCATTAAAATCACAAAAAACCAAAATCATACTCATAAAATATCTTCTGACTTCATTCCTATCGCAATTTCTGCTATAAAAGTCCGATAATCCTGGCAATGCCCGACGTGGTGGCCGTTAGGCACAGCCTAGTGCTATACGGCACATGCCAGTCAACGCAACTAACTTTGGAGCCCTGGGAAGGCAACACACTGTCCTCCACCAACCCGTTCTCGATCGAGTAAACAACAGCTTGGAAACCCCGGCCAACTAACAAATACTTTCCTTCCGAGTCCAGAGCAATGTCACGACCAAAATGCTGCACGTTTTGTGGGGGCGTGTCTGAGACAGGGATATTGTAGAGACATTGAGACATAGGGTACAGTCTCCATTGAGACAGCGACCCGTCTTTACAGTACGCAAACACAGTGTTCTCATCAACACTAAACTTGACTGTGGTAATAGCAGCGGAGCTAGCCTGCCAGCCCATTATACACTGGTAGTCAGCATATACCCTTATCATCCCGTCCATAGCACCACAAACCAACAGGTTACCATTGTGGTTGTAGTGAGTGGATGTTATAGGTGATGGAAGGGGCGTTATCTCCAGGACTTGTAAACACTCCCTAGTCTTGCAGTCCCAGACTATAAACTCGGACGTTTTCTGTTCCTTGTCAGTGCCCGAAGAGACGAGATGAGTACATGCTACGTTCGAGGCCAGGGAGATTACCCTGAGGTTATCTGTAGGGTGGCTAAGTTCCTGGGTTATTTTCCTGTTGCTGATGTTCAGTATTTTAATCTTGCTGTCACCCGTACCAACATAGAGTAGTTTGTCTATTTTAGTCGCCCAGTGCAAACTGTAAATGCCGCTTTTGAACACAAAACTGTGAAGCGTCTTTATGTCCGGTGAGAAAGTCCAAACTTTCAGGGTACCGTTGATATCACTAGTGGCACAGAACATGCCCTCACAGCTGAACCGCGCAAATATCAGCGGCGCTGTGTGCTCGGTGTAATCCCGGTGGTTGAGGCTGGTGAAACTGCCGTTCTTGTGCCGGGGTATTGAAGTTGAGGGCTGATCAGTGTGGGGAGAGCGGGCTGCTGCTTCGGGGGACCGGCTGGCGGATATTATGTAGAAATCTTCTGCTATATCTAGATCTGACCTGGGAACATGGGCTTTGTTAGTATTTGAAAGTGTATTTAGTTGTGGTGTTATGTAGTAGCAAATAAGAATATATACTTGATTATGGAAATCAATAGAAATATACTTAATTACTAAAAAGAGTGATTGTTAGATTAGCAAAGGAGTAAAACACAAAACATTAACTCATTTATCACTCACTGATATCTCACCTTGTAACGAGGTTTTTGTTAAGGTTGTTGTTCTCTTCCAACTGGTGAACACTAGAAGTGTCCTGTAGCTTCATCTTTAGTACGGTCACCTGACAGAAGTAGTATTAAACAATTGGTGGCAACATGACAAAAGGAATGATAAACAAATCCTTCGATAAGTAAGTATGATCTGAGTGCAAGGAAAAGAAAAGGAACAAACTCTAGATTGTAAAACAGAAACATCAATGATTTTGGATTTAGCCGATTTTATAGTCGGATCCCAACCGTTCTAAAAGGCTATCTCGTTAGCTTTTCGTGTTAAAAGCGATTTCTCAACGGTTATCACCTCTCTAGATGATTCTTAAAACATTTGGACACTATTGCATTTTTTTCAAAAATGCAATAGTGGCGTTTACGGCCACACCCTTTTTCAGGGTTTCGCGGTCAGTCGAATTTTTGTATTTCAGCCCAGGAAGGTCTTAAAGACTATTCCGATACACCAAAATGTGCCTAATAGCCTTATTTATATACAATTTATGAAGCAACATATACCTTAAAATGCTTCATTTCGGAAATATGGCCGAAAAACGGTTTTTGGCTTGACGCAGTTCATAATTTCCGTGATTTTTGGCATTTCCGCCTAGGAAGGTCGTAGAGACTATTCTGATACACCAAAATGTACATAATGGCCACATTGATATACAACTTATGAAGCAACATATACCCTAAAAGGCTTATTTTCGGAAATGTGGCTGAAAAACGGATTTTTGCTGAGCGAAAAATGACAATATTCACAAATGGGCTATTGGACTGTTAACTAGAAAGGTCTTTTATAACCTCTATAACAAATATTGCTCATGAGTCTTTAAAAAGACTCATGAGCAATATTTGTCACAAGATGTAAGATGACTCACTTTGTGTCCAGAAACTCCTACAAAAATTGGAGAATGATCTATTTTATTGGGCATCTCTCTTAATGGGCCAAGCCAGCAGCATATTTGTGTCTTACGAAAGGGCAATTTTTCAAAATTACGGTTTCTTAAGGTCAAAGGGTCGGCTGCTAACAGCAAATTGTTCGCAATTGCCGACTCATGCACGTCATATAGTTATACTGAAAAACGCTCACTTTAGGAGTCATCAGTAAATAAGTTTAACTACTGCATGATTTGTGAAAACTCCAACAATTAATTTTCATTGGCACCATGATTTAAATAGAATGTGTGCCGCAAACCAAAATTCAACTTCAAACTTTTTATTTATTCGTGCCATGAAACCATGATATATGTACCAAGAATACCGGGCCTAAAATAAATCGGCACTGGATCCGGGCCAGACTGTTGCTTGACCGCTGACCAGTACCCCACTTTATAATTATGATTGATTTCGCTGCCTCGACCAATATTGGTCTGTAATCCCTGGATTGAGATCTGTTGGCTGCAGTTAAATTTAGTTAATTTCCTATAATACCGCAGTGGTTTGGTGCCCACTTCAGAATGACCACATATTCTTTTTTTCAGTCGCATAGATTTTCCCATCGTATGATAATGATATTGCGTGTCATTCCCTCGGTTTTTAATCAAGTGGTGACTGGCTAGTTCTTCTATTATTATAGCTGTGAGCTGCCTCAAGATCTTATCTGGAGCATGGGCTATATATATATATCCTCGAACAAGTAGGTACAGTATGCCATCTGCAAAGCAACAACTCTAAAATATAAAACACGGCGGAGGTATAAGACCCAACGTATGGGTACTGACTTTTGGCCCACCCTGTATAATAGAAGGTCTCGAGAAGGTCTCGAGATTTAGCTATTGAGGTTTCACATGTGAAATTTTTCCAGCTTTGGGTAAGGTGGACTTTAGAGCGGGGAGGGGATCAAAATCTGAACGATCTCTTACTTACGGGACACTACGGATCTCGGGCCTAATACTAATAGCTGGTTTTTAATGAGAGGTTGAAGTCTGGACCTAGATAGTCAACGTGAGGATAGCTTGAGGATTTAGGATGCTATGCCTGCCTTTCATGGGGTTTTGTAACCCCGAAAGCTGGTATATCTTATCTCACTTAACCTGGCCTTGGTTACATCCCGTGCATGTTTAATTCCTGTTTAATTTAATTCCTGTTTAATTCCCGTGCTATTTCGAATATATAATTAGATTTAAAGGTCCAATATCAAGCAAAAAAGTCTGATCTCCGGTACTGATGTTACACTTACATGATTTCCGACGCGAGGATCTCCGAAGTCCGATCTTAAAGTTGGATCTCAGAGCCAAAAAGAGGAACCTAAGCCTTGGTTCCTCTCTTTGAGAGTCAAACAGGAAATTCGGTGTTATCAACTCAAACTCGGATTCGTAGCACAATTGAAAAACCAAAGAATAAAAATCTTAATGAATTTCCCGACATCCTAAAATTAATATCAGGTCGTATTCGGTTCGGTGGCCCAAACTCCAGTAGGTTACAAGACTTAAGTTCAAGTCGAGGAACACTTTGATTCAGCATGATCCTTGACTAGTTGGATTTTTCCCATACCATGCAGTTGTTACTTTGTTATCTACTAATCACTCCTAAACTGAGCGTTTTAGAGTCGAATCTCGAACCCTGCCATTCGGCCAAGAAATCTTAATCTGAAGTTCTAGAATTACAGTTCTAATGTTCTAGTACTAATGTATTAGTGCCCTAGATAAGATGTCGAGGCAGCTGTAACAACAAAAGAGACAGCCAGTAACCAATTGATAAAAAAACGAGGGAATGACACACATTATCATACGATGGGAAAATATATGCGAACCAAACCACTGCACTGCGGTATTACTATTATGGTAAATGAGCTAAATTAAACTGCAGCCAACAGATCTCAATCCAGGGATTACAGACCAATATTGGTCGAGGCAGTGAAGTCAATTATAATTATAAAGTGGGGTACTGGTCAGTGGTCAAGCAACAGTCTGGCCCGGATCCAGTGCCAAATTATTTTAGGTCCGGTATTCTTAGTATATATCATGGTTTCATAGAATCAGGAAATAAATCAAAAGTTGAATTCTGGTCATTACATTTTGGCTAAATTGGTGCCAATGAAAATTAATTGTTGGAGTTTTCACAAATCATGCAGTAGTTAAACTTATTTACTGATGACTCCTAAAGTGAGCGTTTTTCAGTATAACTATATGACGTGCATGAGTCGGCAATTGCGAACAATTTGCTGTTAGCAGCCGACCCTTTGACCTTAAGAAACCGTAATTTTGAAAAATTGCCCTTTCGTAAGACACAAATATGCTGCTGGCTTGGCCCATTAAGAGAGATGCCCAATAAAGTAGATCATTCTCCAATTTTTGTAGGAGTTTCTGGACACAAAGTGAGTCATCTTACATCTTGTGACAAATGTTGCTCATGAGTCTTTAAGACCTTTCTAGTTAACAGTCCAATAGCCCATTTGTGAATATTGTTATTTTCGCTCGGCAAAAATCCGTTTTTCAGCCATATTTCCGAAAATAAGCCTTTTAGGGTATATGTTGCTTCATAAGTTGTATATCAATATGGCCATTATGTACATTTTGGTGTATCAGAATAGTCTCTACGACCTTCCTAGGCGGAAATGCCAAAAATCACGAAAATTATGAACTGCGTCAAGCCAAAAACCGTTTTTCGGCCATATTTCCGAAATGAAGCATTTTGGTGTATCGGAATAGTCTTTAAGACCTTCCTGGGCTGAAATACAAAAATTCGACTGACCGCAAAACCCTGAAAAAGGGTGTGGCCGAAAACGCCACTATTGCATTTTTTTCAAAAATGCAATAGTGTCCAAATGTTTTAAGAATCATCTAGAGAAGTGATAACCGTTAAGAAATCGCTTTTAACACGAAAAGCTAACGAGATTCCGTTTCGTCTCTGACTATTAATCTTACAAACTTAAAAAAACTAAAGCACTTGGATTAATACACTCTGGAACTTAATAATGATGTACAGTGTACATTGTACATTATGTACAGTGAACACTGTACATAGTGTACAGACCTACATAGTTCACATACCTCTCGCTGTAACTGTTGTTTCTCCTCCACTTCATCAAAAGTATTGTCCTTCCACTGTAAGAGTGCAGGTAGCGGCACCGCGTCCAGCACAGTGCTAATGAAGTTCTGGAGGGAGGTGTGTACCGTGTCGCACCAAATTCGCCTGAAGAGGTGCTGAATTAATAAAGTTATCTTTGACTTTAGGCTCTTGTCTTTAGGACCTTGAATCCTTTAGTCGTTATTTTTATTTGAAAAGTAACAAAAGCAAGATTAAACGACAATTATATCCGTGTTTATTTGATTAAAGGTAAACCTTTTAACAGGAATGTCTCACAGTTGGAATTGATGAAATTTCAAATGAGCAGTTAAAGTACGGTTCTCCTGGACTTCTGCCTTGGTTAAAAGATTTGTTTGAAACTGTATGGAAAAGTGAGGATATTCCTAGTGATTGGAGGAAAGGAATCATCACCATCATCCCAAAGAAAGGGGACCTCACATATTGCAACAACAACAGAGGGATAACTCTACGCTCCACCGTATCGAAGTTATTTCAAATCGTGTTGTTAAAAAGACTAAGTAATGGGCTTGAAAAGTTACTTAGAGAAAATCAGTGTGGTTTCAGGAGAAACCGTTCTTGTATAGATCAGCTATACTCCCTTCATTGTATAATACACAATTATATAGAATTCAACGTCCCTTTGTATATAAACTTTATTGATTTTAAAGCTGCTTTTGATTCAATCAATCGTGACTTTATTTGGAAAGCTTTTGAACATTATGGTCTTCCAACAAAATACATCAATGTTTTCAAAGCGTTCTTTAGAGCAACTGAAAGTGCAGTTCGTGTCAATGGGGAATTGACAAGATGGTTTGATGTCGATTCGGGGACTGGACAAGGTGATGTGCAAGGGCCTCCCATTTTCAACCTTGTACTTAACTGGGGATTAGAACTTGCCGAGAAGTTTAAAAATATATCGCGTGGTTTTACTCTTCAGTACAGACAAAGTTCTAGACAACCAGAAAAATGTGTCATTGATTTGGACTATGCTGATGACATAGCAGGCATGGATGACACTGTCGAGGGACTGCAAGAAACAACGGACAATATTGCGAAATACTGTGGGCTTGGGGGTTTAAACGCAAAGAAAACAGCGATCATGGTAATTGGGAAAGATACGTCGCAGCACCCACTCCCAGAGAATAGGACCATAGATATTACTGTCGATGGAAACTCTGCAAAGCAGGTCACTCAATTCACTTATTTGGGTGCCAAAATTACATCGGATGGCAAGATCGATAAAGAAATAAGTGTCAGGATTGGAAAAGCAACCGGAGCTTTTAACCAACTCAATAACATTTGGAAGAATAAGAACATAAGCATTAACAACAAAGTGCGAATCTACATCGCAGCTGTTCTTACCATTCTGACCTATGGAAGTGAGACATGGAACACGACTCAAGTGCAGACAAGAAGATTAGAGTCTTTCCATCAGTACTGCTTACGCAGAATCCTGAGAGTGAGGTGGTTCCATCGAGTAAGAAATGAAGATGTTTTAAGAAGGGCTTCAATAACTGCTCTTACTGACATAATAGCAACAAAACGGCTACGTTGGTTTGGACATGTCAGTAGAATGCCTGAAGATCGGTTACCTTACTATCTACTTGAACGGGGGAGGATCAGGTACCAAGTGCCGGACATCACGTCGACTAAGTGTAGTTTTGGATATTTTTCACTAGACCCACCCACCCCCTTTGCGGTACTAACTGTTTTTTTGGTGAGATTTTCCTGTGAAATTCGCCGCGTTGAGTGTTAAAGCACGCGTGTTGCTTGAACATATTTATCGGTATTGATGTATATGAGGTATATATTCTTTAAATTTTAACTTTCTGTCAGAGACTATATGCCATTACCTTTAATTACCCCATGTGGTACACCGGCAGATTAGGATAAGCACTAAGGGGTTTTCGTTCACGTATATTAACGTAATCAGCTGAGGGGGGAGGGGGGTTTCCGAATGATTACGCTAGTGTATTGACTCAAAGCTATGTGTAAAATGATTACGGAGGGGGGCAGGGGTATAAATGTTCCCAAAAAAATGATTACTTATAAATGTGAAGGACGCCCCTAAGCAATAAATTGGAGATGTTTCATGATTATTAAATTAACTAAAAAGTACAGTACAACACTGAGATCCTTAACTCGTAATTACACTAATGATTGTACATGTCCAGTAACGATGTTTGAATATCTTTGGCACGCGTGGACAATTTGCCTTTAAATGAAGTTGGTCTTCTGACTCTACACATTAGAAAGTAACTATTTCTGTAGCTCAGAGAGCTATATTAGTACCGAGAATCTGACATTTGAAGGTTGATACACATAAACTCTCTTTATATTCGATTTTGTAAATTGCTCGTTTTCATCTTCGTTAATTAAATAATTTCTGAACTCAGTTTAGAGTGACATTCCTAGTCCTAGACAGGTTGATATAGCCTATAGGGTTCTTATCAGCAGTGAGCCGGGAATCCACACATCGACTCCATTAATACGTCAATGTGTGGATCTCTTACAAAACGCATTTTCGCTTTTCTGACGTGCAAGGATTGTGCAAGATCACCTAGTAAGTACGCCGTATGGGTGCTAGAGTTACTCAAAGTTAGCTTTAGACGTGTAATCCTATCATACTATACCATATACGACAAAAGATGCTGCATTCGTATTCTGTACTTTCATAACACCCAGTGCTTCATCATATTTTGCCCTTTGTTTGAATTTTCGAGAAATGGACTCTATGGTTGAAGGTCCATCTGCTTTAAATTCTACCGTAGAAACGTCAGTAAACTATTTCCTCGGATACTTCCTCCCTGTCGTCACTGGAATCACCATACCTCTAGTGATGACTAACTTGGCTGTTTTTATCAACACTGGAATCCTCAACTCACCATCCAACCTCATCTACTTCAACCTGGTCATCATGGACTTGCTTAATTCTGCAGTCGGGATCATGGTTTCAATTGATCTGGCCCATAACCGCAACAACAAGTTATCCAATCCATGGCGCAAAGAACATTATATTAGCAGCTACATATTTTACTTGGCCTTCGATGCGAGAATCCTCCTTGTGCTTGGACTTTGCATAATAAAAGTTCTTTGGACGAAAATGTCAGCTCTGGACGTTATTAAAAACCTGAAGAAATGTTCTCCGAGCAACAGTAGGTTTACTACGTCACCAGTCTCCTCTGCTTTCTCTTTGCTGATGTATTTGAGAAGAGGGATGGCAAGTATAAACTTTTCTCGTCGACATTTGTAGAAGTGATGGACGTGACAGAAAGTGGCCTGATTCTCACCATACTCATCATGTCCTGCTACACAAAAGTGATGATCAGCTCAACAAATCAAGGATAAAAGAAACTCCAAGTAAAAGCTGGCCCTCAAACACAGTTTCCTGATCTCCCTCAACTTCTTCTTCTCCTATTCTTACCACATTGCTCACTGTACGGCCAGGATCTACCTCATGAAAAAGTGGAACCACAAACTTGAATGTGAACATGATTGGAATATTCTGGTCTGCGATGAGCTCTACTTAGGAGTCAGCTTCATGTGTATTCACAGTTTGGTAAACAGTCTTATTCTACTCTGGCAGGTGAGAAAATGCTGCGAAAAATATTACGTACGGGTAAATGCCTCACAGAATGGCTAGCCTCACAGAATGGCCAAATTTGTAAATGTTTTTGTAACTAATTTTTTTTTTAAAAACTGGTAGGTTTTGTGGATACCATATGAAACAAAAGTCTTCTGGCAACACTTCCTGTGGTGAAATCATTAACTAGGACCACATTTTCTGGCATAAATATGACTGTTTATGTAGAAATTTTGAGCACTGAAAAATTTGTTTTCAAATTTTTGAACTAAGTTTACATTTTGGTGAGAACTTCTGGCACCAGTATGACAGAAGATGTTTAAAGAATAGTATTCATCAAACAAAACGAACATTGTTCAATATAGGAAGAAAAAAATGCTAAAATGGCTACACGCCTCACAAAATGGCCAAAATATGCCTCACAAAATTTGTTTTCAAATTTTTGAACTAAGTTTGCATTTTGGTGAGAACTTCTGGCACCAGTATGACAGAAGATGTTTAAAGAATAGTATTCATCAAACAAAACGAACATTGTTCAATTTAGGAAGAAACAAAATGTTAAAATGGCTAAACGCCTCACAAAATGGCCAAAATATGCCTCACAAAATGGCCAAAATTTAAAACTCCTTTTATTCAATGAAACCATAAGTCTAAAGTATTCACAAGCTATTTATCATACAATAACACCCCAGATGGAGTGTTTTTACAGCCGAATGAAGGTTATAAATCATGAAATCAGGGAATATGAACAACGCCACACAAAATGGCCATTTTTGGTGTAGGAAATTATGCCCTTTTTATTCAGTTCTAAGAAATTTCACCTATATGGGGGTGTTAACAAGGCATATTAATACCAGCAGCATGCCTGAAACAAGAGCCAAAGGTTTTAGAAAAATAAAATTTTCTCGTTTTCTTTTTTTTTTTGCCATTTTGTCAGGCATTTTTTCTTTTTTGTGAAATAATTTTTCACAGCTCAGTTTTTTCGTGAGTTTTAGGTTAAAACCCCATTCCTTAATAGGTTTTCTAAGAACGTGTGGTGATAGAAATTTAAAAAGTATCTCCATCAACAAAATTATAGAAATTCAGATTTGGCCATTCTGTGAGGCATGTTTTTTTGGAGGAAGATTTTCCGGCCAATTTTTCTCAAAGAAAAAATGGTTATGAGATTAAATGAACCCCCGGGAAGAAAAATATGAGTGTCAACTTAGCTTCTTATGAGATAAAAACTGGAATAAAGTGTGTTTTGTGACTTTGAGAGACCTTCCTTTTTTTGGCCATTCTGTGAGGCAAATACCCGTAGGTTTGATCGCAGAAAAGTAAAAATTGTAACCATATTATTTTAAAGTACGGGGGTTCCTTCACAGAAAAAAGATAACAATTTGAATATAATAATTACCGACGAATCTAATTTGAATTCGTACTAATATAAATTTAACCGCCGCTGTTTTCAGAAGCAGACACGAAAGTTCTTGAAAAGAAAAGGCAGACTCTGCCTTGAAGACTGCTTGAACTGTTGTGTAGATGACATAGAACGCGAGAGTTTAGTTCATCATACTTTCCCATCTCTGAGAAGAAATTGAGCATTTTTATCAATTGGGTGTATCACGTGACCAAACAATTTCCTTCGCCGATAACTATTGAATCAATAATAATAATATTTTTGTTTTATGAACCAGGTTACTATTGATTATTGAAACATTTCTTATGATTTTCCTAAATACAAACAGACAGTCGTTATAGATTTAGGAGTTTTCTCGAACTTTATCATGTTCAAAAATACATTTTTTATATTTTTAGGGATTATTCACATATTGAAAAGCTTCATCCACATTCCACATATTGAAAAGCTAACAGTAACCGTGTAATTTCTACAATAGCTATCTGCTATCATGCACGTTAAAATGACTTATAACTGAGGGGAGGGGTTCTCAAATGGTAAAAAATGTGGCTTATATAATATTAATATGCAATACCAATACCAAATAGCATTGTGCCAATTACATATTTTCCTTTGATTATCTGAATAATTGAGTGATAACAGACAATTTGATTTAGTTCTATTTTAACACATAGCGTATCTGATTTGTATCAGAAATTAGGCAAATTTATGAGAAATTTCGATCAGATATTGTTTACCTAACCTATTAATTAAGTTTACCTAATAAGTAATAAGTGTGGACAATTATCCACCTCCTAGTCCTACAGAGTAATATTAACGTAGATGAAGCTTGCTTATCGTTAAGTCTTCTCGAAATTGACTTTATAGTTGTTTCTGATAGAGGTGAGAGATATCTATCAGTACAGCTATTTTTGGCCCCCATGGAAAAATATCGTTCCTAGCCGAAATTATCACGCAATACAATTATTTTAATTACACATTAGCGCTGACCTTGGACCGGCGATAATTATTAGGGGTCACGTTTACATATTCCGTAATAATAAATTTTTGAAAAATTGTTACCCCATGGCCCTCCCCTTTCCGTAATCAGTTTTACTCATAGCTAATGCTATTGAATTGTGTCAAAAGTGCACAGTACTAGCGTAATCATTTGGAAACCCCCCTCCCCCTCGACTGATTACATAATATGTGAACGATCCTGGACCCCTTAGCGGAGCTGGAGGCCGGAGGCAAATCATTTGAGGGGGGGTCACAATCACCGGTCACCCTAAATCTAATTGTTTCGAGATAGCAGTTGACCAACGAACTTATAGTTATAGCGGCCCGTGACCGAAATTCTGAGGGGGTTCCGAAACCTGCGGGCGCCCACTGTGCACTGGTAGTGGTGCCCGCGGGGCAGCCGCGCCCATATTTGATATCTGAGTTAAAATTATTACAACTCGGAGGGGGGTGGGGTTAAGGCAGGGGTAATGGTATCTTTTGATAATTACTTTCTATAAAATTACCTCAATGAGTCAGTTGAGATAAAGAGCTCAAACATAGCCTCTGGCTTTGGATGATATACCGATTCATTTTTATAGCTTACCGATTATAATGCAATCTGGAGGTTGGTTCGTTGGGACAACAGCACCGTTCTGACAAGTTGCCTTGTTGCCTCCCTTGTTGACGAAATCAGGTGGACAAGTCAAATATATCTCCTTTCCATTTTCAACTGGCAAATCAGGAATTGTTTGTACGTTTTTCCAGTTCAAATGAAGGGTCTGGCATTCTATTTCTGAAAAATATAGTACATGATCAAAATTGTTGATGGTGGTGTTTTTAAGGAATAAATAATTGTCAATGGTGACGTTAACTTTTAAATTCGACATCTTACATGAATTTCAATTATTGATTATGATAATATTTTATAATTTTTCTAATGTATGTAATTATTGAAAGAGTGCTTAAAAAAGTGTTAAAGTTAATGCTTATTATCACAAATTTAAATGTTGAACTACACTTTAACGTTTTATTGACAATTTACTGAACGACAGATGAATGATATCTCCACTTCATGGTGTGTTTTCACACACATTTCACTATAAAATAATATAGTGTACTTTATACTATTTCCAAGCTATTCATAAGAGAACTCTCGATATTATTTGTCATTTAACATATTTAATTCTTTCTCTTTAATACAATTCACCTGTTACAACAACTTCAGCTACATTTATGTTCCCTATACTCTTGCTGAGCTTTACAGTGTCCCCGTCAGTGTCACAGATCAGTGTGTAGATCTGGTCTGCCTGCTCTAGTCCATATGTTAGTTGGAGTGTTCCGCAGGAGTTCTGTTTTACCTCTCCCTGGTACACTGACACATCTACGTTGTTATGACCATCCACACACATCTTAAAATTAGCTTCTTCCTCCGCACACCATTGAGTTTCAGGACGGTGTTGGTACCAGTTGGTATAAAACATGTGGTAGATAAAGACCTTGTGGATAAAGTAGGTTCTATCAAACTCTAACTTTAGCCAGCTTTGTCCAATTACAGTGGCAGCTACAGTTGAGAGGTCTTTATCGATTGCATGTGTTGCTGCAAATTGTTCCTCGCTGAGCCTAAGTGTTTTTCCTTGCGTCACCTTCGTGGGGATTAACTCTGCGGCTGCCAACTTTAGCTTCCGATCTGAAGTATCACAATTATAAAAATACTGCGCATTTACAATTTACCTATTTGATACAAATTCGGAGAATTCGTCATATTAATGGTTTTCTTATCTATTTTCTTCTCCTTACCAACATTTTGCCCTGTTAAATGCAGTTCAACAACTGCTGAAGCCTGAAATGTTTAAACTACTGAACGTACCCTGTATTGGTAATTCATCATCGGAGTCACCAAAGACAATCCAAACCACCATGATAACAAATGAGAACAATTTCAGCATGTTGGCACGCTGAAACTGCTTTATCTTTTGAGAATCTATAAGTATAATGTACTGATACTAGGATTGTACAAACGGTTGTAGGAATTAATACGATCTTAGAATGTGGGCGCAATGGGGTAGCCGTTAAAATGATATGCTGATCTGGGGTGGGGACCTAGTCATGGGTCTAGTCCTAGATATTGCGCGGCACCCGACTACCATGAGCCTTAACGGCGACCCCACCATTACAAATACAATGAATAATAATATGCCGAATAGTTATGCAAATTATTTACGTGTTCAAGTTAAATATTAATAAATCTGTAGAGGGACGTATAATGTAAGGACCTCCATAGGCATATCGCTATCATTAGTCAACATGGACTTCCCAGGAAAAGTTACCGGCTGGTGGTGGTACTAGAGTTGGTTTAATTTAAACAGACGGCTTGACCTCGCGCGCGACAACAAGCATGATTTGCACGCGTGGCGTATTCCAATGTTCAAGCAGCTTCCACGTGACACAATTCAGCCAACCAGAGTACAGGAATCCGCAAAGTTAAAGTTGCAAACTTTTGATCGGCCCGAAAGGGGACTTTTCTGGAGATTTTGAGATAACTCAACAATTACGTTGTCTTGAATTTTCCTCCTGGAGAGGTAACGTTACTTTTAAAAGAGGAACAAGTTACAAAAAACCGGAAGTCTCCAACTCTTTTACTTTCAAAGTTAAGCCCCATCCGGTCAGGGTTCCTGGGTTTAAATGAACTTTAAATAACGATCTCTGGTATTGGAACAATAAATTGAGCTCGATTGCGCGATTTATTAAGTTTAACGTGTAATTAAAAAATATAATTATGACTTGGAATGATTTAACTCAATCGTGGTAACAAGAAATTCGCCAAGTCACAACTTAAATTGTTTCTCTTTCTGCTAAGGTCGCGGTCGCTGGCCTCCTGCGGTAAAATTTTTTATGTTAACAAAGATAAAATTTTCAGGGGGAAAGTTGCGGAACTGTCCGATTTTCCAGAATGTAACTACAAATTCCACGGATAGTCCGGACGTTCTGGAATGTGAAGTTTGGGAAGTCTGTACTACAATACACCTGACGTTAGTGGAGCTTATCCAAGATTTCATAAAACTGGAAATTACAATGTTATCCACTATTTTGATGAAAAATCTCAGTTTTGTATGTCATCGAATAGTTTGTGAGACATCAAAACAAATAGTGCAAGTAATGCTCCTCTTTGATCCTTATTAGCTTATACTTATAGTTATAACTTTAACAAACACTTATTTAATGAGCAAATGAAAGGGGTCACTTCAAATATCAGTACAATTAAATCGTAAATTATCATTTCTACTAGTCTACTAGTCGTATACTATTACTAGTCTACTAGTTCTACTATATTAATATATACTATCTATATATTACTGGACTATATACTATTACTTGTATCTTTCTATCACATGGTCGATCTGATTATAACGAAGGTGACTAAAATTGCAAGTGAGCTATAATACTTCAAATAGCAGTATAATTAACTCGTAAATTATCATTTCTACTAGTACTACTATCACATGATGCTCGAGAATTTGATTCGAAGGCGGATGACAAGTGAGCTATCATAAAAGAATAAATATAATTCATAATTGTATCACGTGTATATATCGACAGGAGATAAACGATAACTTTAATATTTTACAATAGAATTAGGGTTATAAATAGTGGAGGCTATTATCATGGTAAATAGTACATAATGCCATTCCATGCAGAATCCAGATATCCATAATCCAGGTATGCTAATATATGTCATTTCACGTTTATATATGACTCGCGGTGAGATATTCATTAATCATCGCACATGACCAAACCTCCATGACATGAATAAAGGAATTACTAATAAAGAAATTACGAATTAGTTGAGGGTACAGTTACAGACCACTGCAGACGTGAGCAATTACACTTGAGTCTAATCAACATAATCACATGATTTTATTTAAATAAAGGCATGCAGGGCGGGCGGGCGCCCTTTATTGTATTATACCGCTGTATCGATAGTAACTGGTAACATGCGGTAACATGCGGTAACGTTATATTTTACTAGTGAATAGTGATTCGGCCTGACTAACTGTCTCAAAATTCAAATAAAGTAATCTGCCGAGATCTTTTTTTTGGCAATCCTCACTGCGAGCATATTTTTGTGCATAGTTGAGAGTACGTACATTCTTACATTTTGTGTCACAAATTTGATCTCTTGTTATGAAACTGTAGAAGTAATACACCCCAGCTAAACGTTACAAAGTGTCTAAAATCATTGAATATCATATACAATATACAATGAAATTTCTTCATCGAAAAGCAAATGTTATTTACAATTGTACTCTCATGGGATATTTACATATTGAAAAACTGGAAACAGTCTACGGTCCACAGCACCATTTCAAAGTAAAAATAAAAGCGTGTTTCTGAAAAATCATCATCCAGTGCACAAAACAGTTTTTTCAACTTCTACAACCTTTTTTAATACAGATCGCGATACAATCTAACTTTTAAAATAAGCTGAGCAATCATTAATCAGTTCAGACTATTTTTTCTTCTTTCCTTTGCCCTTCTTTTTTCCTTTGCCCTTTTTCTTGCCTCCCTTGGCGCTCTTACCCTTACCACCACCACCACCTTCACCCTCATCCTCCTCTGCCTTTAACTTTGCCCTCTTTTTGCCAAGCGGTGTCTTCGTATACCATTTCTGAGGGGTTCAGACGTTAATAAAATTTGGGAGAGACAAAATTATGAGTGATATAAGTTTCATAATTTGTTACTAAAGTTACTTAAGAATTCAATGCCTGAATGGGTGCATGGATATTGCACACGTAAGATGAAGTTACTACAAGAAATTTTCAGATAAAAAACAGAGATGATCACTTCACATAAAAATATGCCTATTTTATTGCACTTCCACTACCATCACTTCTACTTCAGCGACATCTAAACTACAATATCTTTTTTATGACGGCTGAATAGAGTGCCCGTGAAAAGTTTGTGCTGATGTTTTTTGGGGATAAAACATCACCGTGCTGTGTATGTAAGTGCTGCTTCAGTAGAACTACGGGAAATTTACAAATCTCCAACGACAGTGTACGGTTAAAGTGCTGTGTTATTTACATCAGCGCTATTCTTCATCTCCCTTTAAAAGCAACTGTCGCTTTTTACCCATGGTGGTCTTGTCATAAAACGCCTACGCAGATCGTAAGCTAATAATAAAATCGCTAATTTCGATAAACTTGATGAAAGTTATCGCTTTCATTTTTAGAAATATTTTGTAGCACTATCAGCGACTTTTTTCGATAAACATCTTCAAAATTGAGACATTTGGCACATCGACTTGAGAAATTTGGCACACCTACCTTAAACTGTTCTTCCTCTTCTTTATATATGGGATCTATTCTTGCGAGAGGTGTCACAAACTCCATGGCAGTAAGAGGTTTCCTGTGCAACTGAAGAGAATATAATTATTGTGATTTTTAAATCAATTTATATTTAAGTACAACTGCAAGGAGGTGACGTCAGTGATTTGGGCTAGATATATATCACCTGTAGTTGCTCTGTCACCAGTACTTGTATTACTAAGTCGTACATTTATTATTAATACAATGAGGCTCCGTCATTAGAATCAGTACCTGCTGAACACGGCGTTCAGTAAGCACGTGTTTCACTGCAGTGATGATGTGGCCAGGGGTGTAGCCGTCTGATATCTTGGCTAGAGAACTGAGGTCAAGTGTCGGGGCCAACCTTCCTCCGTTACGTAAAATCAGCTCCTTGAACAGCACTGAACGAGTGTTCTTATCAGTATCACATTTAAGCGAGGGTGTTATCAAAGAAAGCAGAATAGGATAGATCTACATTAAATTGATGGGATGGTGAATCACAGGCGAGTAAAGTAAGATTGGCAACCAGATAAGATGAGAATTGTTTTTAACTTACAAAATCTGGAAGCGTAGTCAGGGCGTGGAATAAGCACAACCTTCTGGTAACATTGACACAGACTCTTCACGTCGGAATGTATACATATCAGTTAAGGAGTGCAACAATTATTTTTAGTCTTAATTCAAATTTTAAATGCATTGCTTGTTTGTTAAACTGTTTGCATGATAACACTGTAGTGCGCGCTTATCGATATTCTTTTCAGTTGCTATGGAAACAAATTTTACAAGCAGCAGAGAACTTTTCATACATTAATTGCAGCGCGCGTGACGTTCTCGGCATCAAATTTTGCCACTTTTACCCGAAAGCTCAAAGTTTCACACTTATTATTAGTTAAAAAACAGAACAGAGATAATTGCAGCGTCAAAAGGATATCCCAAGGCGTTAAAGATGTTCCAACGAAGAGAATCCTATCCTCCGCAGTCATTTTCTTAATAATCTTTGGCAGTTCCTTTTTCAATCTTTTCGGGTCACTCATGTCATTCTTAGCGACCTTTTTAACGAACGTCTTCTCAGCGTTGCCAATGTAAATAACAGTAGGCTGCAGCAGTTTTCCAACTTTCATTACGAGATGTAACAGCATTGTCAGTCCAGCTTTTCCTAAATTATTCACTTTTGTTACAAATTCCATCTTTCGATTTTTAGGACAATTGTTTACAATCTGTTGCAGGTTTTCTTCACAGAACGGAAAATTGAACGAAATCTATTCTTATCCTTAACACCCTACGCGCGTGGGGTGGACTCCTGGGGTGGACTTTTATTCAGCGCGGATTTTGTAGCCTGTTCAACTTGACGTTTTGATTCGTTACTATCTCAATGTCACAGATACACAGAATGTGAGGTGATCATCTTAAAGAGAAACGTCTCAGCTTTCACCTGGTGTAAAGTTTATCTTTGTACTCAAAATATAGCTCGCTCAGTGTGCAATAGAAGTTGACAATACAATAACCACGTCTGCGACCGGTCGTCAGATACCGGAGTGTTGCACAAAATTGGGTCCCTAAATTAAAATTCTATGACACAGTTACCATGCAGAAATGTCTAGGGAAACATTTGGTGAAAGTTTCAACTCTCTACTATAAAAATAGCGATAGTTATTGAAGATAAACCGTGAGAAACTCCCTCTTGTCGAGATCTACGCTCTAGGAACCTCCCTTCTGTACCACGTGACAACGATTTGAGCGTCACGTGGCCGTCACGTGACAAAAGTGCGCGCATCGGATCGAACAGTCTCGTGGGAAATCCTGATTGCCTGATCGATCTCGTGGGAAATCCTGATTGCTACGGAAAGGGCTGACAACCACAGTTATTTCCCTTCCTCAATTTTCCAGTTCACTTGCTCAGTGCTGTCAGTTGTTTTTTGTTTGCCCTGCTATATAAACTTCACTCCGTCATAATCCCCTACTCCCCTATCCAATGAACTGTTTCTGTTACAGCTGCCATTCTGTTGACTGGACCCTAACTTAGTCTTATCATTTTCACTTGATAACTTTATCCGTGTGCACTTTCTCGAAACTCAACTTATCTTTGTCAAGACTCAGCTAATCTCAGAACTAAATGTTGCCTTAACAGACTTACTTGTCACTGCACTGGGCCCTCCTTTAAATGCAAATATCATATGAGCAGCTGATCGATTTATTGCTTGAACTGTGCATCCTTTTTAAAAATATATAAGGTCAATTTTACTATCGTGAAACTTAGTCACTGAAGACAACGCAATCTGGCTGTGCCGGTTCCCCTCTGCCTAGATCACTTAGAATATCCATAGTTAGCAATACTTTTATCGTTTAATGCAGCGATAAAGCCAGTTATCAATGCTACATAGTAGATTTTAGCCTGTTCCAATCATCCTTATATCGCGTTAATGGAATTTATGAAATTGCCTACCGTTCAAATCGCTCTCTGTTGTTAGCACCACACTGATTAACTACGATGTTCCAATTTTTTAGAATTATGTCCGACATAATTCTAATTTTTGCTGTTACAGCAGATAGTTATGGTGTAATGGCACGCAGGAATAAGTCATCCCTGTCCTCCAAAAAGCACATGAAAAGGTATTTGGTAAGCTATGTCTTTTCCAATATCAAATCCAATGTATCACAATCTGTGGACTTTCTACTCAAAAACTAGATTGATTAATTGATAATTCATTGCTGATTGTTCACGCGCCCTGTATGGAAGTATATAAATGGTAATCCGCATACTCCAGGAAGAATTGAAGCAATCTCAAAAGAAAAGAAGGGAATCTGGATCCTTCGTCGGATCGTCAAAGAGCTTAGAGGGGAGCTCTACGCTTCACTGGCCATGCAAAGCAGGGAGAGTGACGGAGGCGGAGGCACTGCTGGCTGCTGGAACAGACATTAACAAGCTGGACAGAACGCAGTTTAACCCTTTCATGGACGCGATCAACTCAGGTAAATCATTCGACCGCCTTAACAATATGGGTTTATTGGTAATAGTAGCAAGAGGTTTTAGTCATGCGTTTGATTACAGCACAGTGTGAAACCCTGAAGCATACGTCGAGCTCTAAACTCTGTTTTGTCTAATAATCAATTATTTGAATATTGAAGGATTAAATTTGGTAACTTGATGATCACACAATTAACAGGACAGGTCGACTGTGCTAGATGGCTGCTGAGGCAAGACGGTTTAAAGCTTCAGCCCGAGATATGGTCGTTTTGTAGGGAGAGGGTGCTAGAGTCATTGCTAACAGCTTAACAGAAGGTAAAATCCTGAACTTTTGTTCATTGATTAAAAATCACCATTCAGACATACAATCGTTCAGATGTAAAAATTATTTATTCACTATTTTGGATTACATTTAGTTACAGGACTAACATGCGACATCCGTCGTTGACCTTTGTCTTTAATTCAACAAGGTAGGGAGAGCGATCCATGGCTGTCCCGATAGACCCACTCAGACTCCTGCCGGAAGATACTCCTCCGGTTGATCCAGATGAGACAGTTCTAGCAGATGATCAGTTACAGACTGAAGAACATATCCCACAGATCAATGCGTCAACATCTGCAAATGAAGGTACTTCAATCTGCTCTTCTTGTATATGTCTTTGTGCCTGCGTCTGTGATTGTACTGAAGTGTACTCTGTGTGTTTGTGTCTGTGTCTGTCTTTGTATCGTGTGTGTGTGTCTCTGATTGTACTGCGTGTGTCTGTAATTGTAATGTAGTGCACTGAAGTGAACTATGTGTGTTTATGTGTGTGGCTGTGTTTGTCTGTGTGTGTCTGTGTGTACTGTGTCTGTCTGTGTGTCCGTCTGTGTCTGTGTGTGTCTGTGTTTATGCCTGTGTCTGTGTGTCTATGTCTGTATGTGTTTGTGGGTGTGTGTCTGTGTGTCCTTGTCTGTGTGTTACTGTGTCTGTCTGTGTGTCCGTCTGTGTCTGTGTTTATGCCTGTATGCCTGTATGTCTGTGTCTCTGTGTGTGTGTGTCTATGTCTGTATGTGTTTGTGGGTGTGTGTATCTGTGTGTGTGTGTGTATCTGTGTGTGTGTGTGTGTGTGTGTGTGTGTGTGTGTGTGTGTGTGTGTGTGTGTGTGTGTGTGTGTGTGTGTGTGTGTGTGTGTGTGTGTGTGTGTGTGTGTGTGTGTGTGTGTGTGTGTGTGTGTGTGTGTGTGTGTGTGTGTGTGTGTGTGTGTGTGTGTGTGTGTGTGTGTGTGTGTGTGTGTGTGTGTGTGTGTGTGTGTGTGTGTGTGTGTGTGTGTGTGTGTGTGTGTGTGTGTGTGTGTGTGTGTGTGTGTTCTTTCATAGAAGTTGTTATTTCCAAGATACGAAGTTCGAAAAGCTAGCATTTAGTAATAGACGAATTTTGCAGCTGATATCAGAATCGACATGATGATGGTACTACACGAGATGCTCATGGAAAAGGTCTCCGTTTGCTTTCCTCCTCCCACGAGCAGTACAAAGTGTGGGTTCAACTTTAATCTGATAGAAGATATCGTATGCGGAACCCAAGCCCGGCCATGTCTGTACATAATAACGAAAGAAACCGGTAAGTTTCTAATCATGTAAATGTTCGGCCGAACGTTTGCATTCATTTTAGACTAGTGACGAAAATCAACAATCGTTTGCCAGTTTGGTTTGCAAAATCGACAAAAAATAGTCCATTCCCATGGCCATGATATTAGAATTCTGCCCGTTGAAATCGGCCACTCTGATTTTTATCATTGAACTTCACATTGATGACATGTTCATTCTCTACAGGTTATGCTGCGAGGGCGTTTACCTCGATAGATGTTGAAAATGCCCACAGCATTATAAATCATTTGGACCGCCGAGGGGTCCAAAACTCCTCAATCGAAGAGCTTAGTAGACATGCCAGCAACCTACAGAGACTTCAAATTCTCAGGAAACCTCTCTAGGACGGTAATACATTAACTTGTTTAGTTAATAAATTTAATAAGTAGATTTTGAGTGATGATTACTGAATACAGATATCGAGCCTCGAGGTACCATAAAAAGGGTATATAAACTTATCACTTATGCTTATATGCTTATACTATCAATGAATATCAAATCGCCTTCTCTAGTTATCAAACCCAACATAAGTTAAATCTCTGCCTACAAGGACTATTTGATATTTACAACAGACCGAGTGAATGTCTCAATCTTTTCAGGAAGCTTTATACTCCGACATCCACAATTTACCACGCCCCTGAGATCGACAAAGGTCTTTCTGATAGATTGACTTCCAGCCAATTCGATCTATCGAAGCCGAGTGGGAAGAACAAAGAACTGAAACCCCATGGTCGCAACGATGCTCCTCGCGGACAAGGGAGAGTTAGGGCCATCGGTGGTCACAAGACTGGATAATATTTATTTTTTAAGCGTTGAGGTTGTCACGAAAGCGTACTGTAACGGGACTATCAGATTTGAGTGATTTGATTTTGTGATTTGCAGTTCACGTGATTTTATTGTGATTTTAGACTGTAAAAACTATAAAGGTTCAAGTTGAACTATCGTCGCCATGATTATGTATTTTGGAACTGTTCACGTTGAAATTGCTTCGTTAATCAGCAGTCTTCCTTGGTTACTTTCTACTGTGTAATGCAGCTACGATCAACGATACTTAGCTAGTACATTCATAGTAACACTAACTGCACTGAGAAGAGTAAAAAATTTGAGCTTTGACGGAATAACATTTCCTTGTTTTTAGATACGGTTACTACTCTAGTGAGGGGTTCATAGCTGATCATTAAGGTCTTACTCACAATAATTTGTGCTCTGATATTGGCCGTACTGACGGCTGTTGAAAAAGCCACTCCATCAGATGCGCGCCGCAAGAGTCCACCCCTGTAGACCCCACTACGTACAAAATTTGAAATTTTCCCAAAAACTTCTGATTAAGCTAGTTTGTTTTCAATAACTTTTGCAATATTTACAGTAGACCCTTCAAATTTTCACCAAATGTTACTCCAGACATTTCTGCATGGTAACTGTGTCATAGAATTTTAATTTAGGGACCCAATTTTGTGCAACACTCCGGTATCTAGCGACCGGTCGCGGACATGGTTATTGTATTGTCAACTTCTATTGCACACTGGGCGAGCTATATTTTGAGTACAAAGATAAACTTTACACCAGGTGAAAGCTGAAACGTTTCTCTTTAAGATGATCACCTCACATTCCGTGTATCTGTGACATTGAGATAGTAACGAATCAAAACGTCAAGTTGAACAGGCTACAAAATACGCGCTGAATAAAAGTCCACCCCAGGAGTCCACCCCACGCGCGTAGGGTGCTTAATCCATAATATTTACTAAACGTAAATGTAAAATTCCTAACAAATAACTTCAAACACTGTTTGAAATAATAAATTAGATGTATTTGTTTTGGCAAGTTACACCTCCAAACCAGAAAACACAAATCTCTCCATTTTGAAACAAAAAGGAGAGAATTAAGATAAATAGAAATGGAGAATTTGTCAACTAATCCCCACCTGAGATTGTTACATCTGCTTTTAAGTTGACCCTAGTCCCTATCCCACAGATCTCATGAAACTAATAAAAATGATTTAGATGTCCAAGTTAACACAACTTACCAGGGTATCTACCGCAAATATTTTCAGCAGTAAGATCGATGAGATTAGCTCCCAGCTCAGAACAAATAGCGTTGACCAGCATGCGTTTGCCGGTACCATGTGGACCAGCTATCATTAGTGACTTGACATGGGGCGCTGTCTCGTGCACAGTCTGCGATCCTGGGGGTAGCAAGACTTGAATATACTGAATAATATGCTCACATAACGTTATGTTTCATGTTTATGTATAAATTAATCAATATTGTTAAATATGGGAGGGGCTGGAAAATGTTGTTAAACTGACTATTTCTTGCGACTAATCCTTGATTGATCACTAAAGTGCTTGATTGATCACTACCTTGTGAGAAAATCATACTTGTTTAACTTTATTTGAAGTGAGCTATCTTAAGCTTGCATATTGCATAACATGATTAATTCTGAGTCCACAAAATAATCGAAAGATTCACGACTCACGTACGAGTTATTAAAAAGTAGCTTACCCATGGGAAGTATACCGTACTCTGTAACGACTCTGCGCACGTCTGATAGAGAAGGCATGGGCTCAATGTTAGCCTGGCGAAGTGTAGTACCGAGGTAACTGAAAATTTCGCCTTGTTAATTAGCCGCTTACTCAACAATAAGCAAGTTCAATCAACTGGTTGAGTAATCACTCTTACATAAGTGTAACCCCAATATTCTGTAATACCGACTTATCAGTTATCAAAAGATTGTTATTAAAATAAATGCCGCCTTTAAACAGCAAATTTTATTATCTGTAAACCTGTATTCTCCCAAGTAATCGGCTATCTTGACTTTAGGATACTGTACCAGGATACCTTCCTTTACCAATTCTTCATACAGACTTTCAATAGTCCTGTTAAATGTTACAATTTTAGTCATTAATAATATCGACACGTATAGTACAGAAAAGTATGAAAATATGAAATAGAAGACAGAAGTCAAACCCATTATTTTCAAAAAAATGCATTCTTATAGAAGAAAAAGAAGGCATGGTTTCCAGCGTAAAGATTGTAATCAGGTAGATCAAGTCACGATTGCAATAAGCAATCCTATTTAAGACAATTATTCATCTTATTTACAGAACCATACCTTCGTTGGAAATCGAAGATAAATCAATATGACACATGAATTCGGAGCAAAATAATCAATGACACTGAAATAATCAACCACATTCAAATGATCACTAGAATCATTGCTACCTGTCCGGCGTCAAATCTTTGTCTTTTTTGCCCTTTTTACCTCCTTTTTTGTCCTTCTTCTTACCACCCTAAAAACTACCAATTGAGCATGCAAATCAGAGAAAAATTAAGATACGTGCTGCAGATTAGCTGTTGAATGTATCCCTACCCTTCAAAGAGTATATTTGACGTTTATATGCTTTCTAATGGTGTAAAGAGTAATTCACATGATAGTAGAATGCAGGAGGATTATTAAAAGACTAGCAGTATCATGTTGGGCTTCGTACAACATATAACATCTGGGTAGGGATACATCCTTTTATATTTACATGCAGCTAAACCAACTCACTTTCCAGCAGTCAGGTCTTTTGCTTTCTTCCCCTTCTTCCCTTTCTTACCCTTGCCACTTTTCTTTCCTTTTTTACCCTTCTTACCCTAAACTCGAGGCACAATGGTCACAAATCGGACATTTTGTCGAGATTTTAATCGGAATTTTGTTGAAAACAAACTATAATGTTGAAAATACATTTTTTTTCAAAATGTGATGAGGACATGACGTTTTATTTTAAATTCTAGGCTTACTCCCCTCTATCAATACCAAGTAAAATCCTAATTGCCCACAACCCCTAGCACAGAAGTACACTTGCCATTTTTGTTTATATTGCTATTCAAGGGAAGCTCAAGAAATTTTTGTAGCAGGCTGAATAAGTGCTTGAACTTATCGTTTCATGATTTAGTTTTAAGACTCATTAAATTAAATTTTCCCTTCGTAAAATGCTGCACTAAAACAACATTAAAATATGGGACCGGTTCCCTTTGGAGCACGTGCTGTGACGTCATGTCACGTGCTGTGCGGTTCATGATTGTTAAATTCTGCTTTACTGTGATGCGGTACTTTTTGTAATACACGTGGCTCTGGCGGTAGAATACCTTCTTTTTTGCAGAGCCTTTGCCACCTTTTTTACCCATATCCTTTTGCAATGCCTGTATAATAATAAAAGTTAAGAAATATGATTCGTATGAAAATAGGATACCTTCTTTTTTCCAGATTTCTTTCCCTTCTTTCCTTTTTTACCTTTGTCACGTTCAATAGCCTGAGTTTTAGATTTTCAAGACGACAAAAAGTTGAACGACAATTGAATAAGTTGTAGAAAAAGATAAATCAAAAGCATGGAAATCGTTTATTAAAATGTTATGAATAATGTAGGTTATAATAGGATCTCATTTGACTTATCATCGTGGTCGTATGTTTGAGTGAAGTATGAATTAAGTTAATACTTCTCTCAGTAGTTTAAGTTCCTCTCTCATTTGACCATCAACAAGTAATCTCACTTCATCCTCAATCTCAACTCTGGAATCAGAGGTGAAGTGATAACTTATACATCGTGCAAGATCGATAAGGGGGCGATGATTTGATGAACTTATGTAATTTGTGCTGTGAGCGATATATGTGTGTTTGTGGATTGAAATGTGGTGGGTTTTGGATTGAATAATGGCAGGGTTTTACATACAGCTTTCAGGTTTTTCAGTTCTTGTCGCATCAAATCATCGACCTGAACTCTTATCTCCGACTCTACTTCGCCCCTATCAAAGAATACACACTTCAAAAGATAAAACTTCTACATTTTTTTCACGTCGAAAAGTATGTGTATTTTAATGTTGAAATTTTTGAGAATAAAGCAGGATATTCAGAAAAATTATCACACTGACCGTTTGAGCTCTTTGATCAGTTCAGCATCATACTTCTGTTGGAAGTTTTCAGTCTCATCCCTTTGCTTCCATATCTCCTCGTAAGTCATTGAAGCCTCTTCAATACCTGGTATAAACATAGACGGCACCATCTTAAACCCGTCGTCGTCTTCGCCACCACCAGCCCCCTTATCCTTACCACCCTTCTTTTTTCCTTTCTTTTTCTTTTCCTTCTTCTCGCCCTTCTTCTTTTTTCCTTTCTTGCCTTTCTTCTTTCCCCCTTCCTCACCTCCTTCTTCACCACCATCACCGTTTTTTGTTTTGAAGATAGCACCTGAACCACCCTCATCATCAGAAGGATAGTCAGGGAACTTTCCGGTAGCATCTCTGAAACATTTTTGGGCTAAAGTAACTCCAAAATAAAGCAATTCTTATCAGCACATCGAAAGTTGAATAGCAGTGCTTTCTACTTTTCTAAAAAGAAAATTTGTAGATGAAGTTGCACTTTACCTGGTCTCGATGAACCATTGTCTGATTTGATCCTGCATGTTCTCCTTTATATCTGGACCCTCTGCCTCCCTGATTTTCTCTTTGATGTTTACCAGAGCATCTTGATACTCTCTTTCGTGTTGAGCTTGAATCAACACACGTTCTTCCTGACAATAAATTAGTTGTTATTATCAAATTGGAGCACTTCTTATGTAAAAAGTTTAATATACTATCTTCCATCATGAATTTAATTTTGTAAGATTCACTGTGCAAATGCCACGATAGAAGATGAGCAATTCTTACCTCTCTTTTGTTGACTTTGCTAACTGGAGAATCTTTGTGGTGAACTTGAGTGTCAGTGTTTGGCTGCATGCCAATGAAGATAAGCTCTTCCTCTCTGAGTTTCAGTGTCTTGTTCCTCTGGGAGTATCCTTTCCAAACCTTCTGTATGATGGTTGAAGCTACATCTGGGTCCATTGTTGAGGCTCCTTGTAATGATAGCATCTTTTCTCTCTCCTCTTGAGCTCTAATCTCTCTCATGAATTTAGCTCGGAGACATCCTTGTCGTGCACGCTCGTGTACCTAGGATGATTTAAATCAGAAATTTTAAATGAATCAAGGCTAATGCTGAAATTTTGATAAACAGCATAGATCGTATCTTTTATCTTTTATAATGCATAGTGCACACTAGGTTATAATTATGTAACCTCATAAATTATCTTCATACTTGAATGATTTTGATAGCTTCTTCCAGACTCATTTTTATTTCTTCTTTCTTGTCGCTAGTCTCATCAAGTCTGTATTTAGCTAAAGTTTCTGCCATGAGCTTCATTCTATCTTTTATGTCTTTTTCATTATCCTGAGAATAGATATCATGATATAATGCTTAATGTTATAGTCATGCTACGAATGATCGACGATGTATGTTCACAAGCAAAACATAATAACGATCAATATGCATATGAATAAACAAATAAACTTCAAATTAAAGAGTTTGATTTTTAACCTGTGTGAAGTATCTGGGAACAGGAATTTCTATGTCAGCTGGGGTGAGCTTCATATCTGAGAGGACATCGTCAAAGAAGTGATACTCTGAAAACTCAAGGTTTACCATTTCGTTTTTCAACTCGAGTAATCTGAAGAAAATTCCAGGTTATGGTATGTAATGTTATGGTATGTAATGTTGATTTTTGAAGAAAACCTTGAGAAAGTGAAACTTACAGGTACACAGTTGATACTATATAAAACAAATTGTTTGCAATCTCTGGTTTCGTGATTCATAAAGCACACTTTTGATGGGCAGACTTCAGTTGATTATTAGTATGGTATTTCAAAGTGTAAAATAAACTGTATAAGTATGCAACAAACGAAAACCAATTTTATTTAACAATTTTTGTCTTTAATGCTTATTTATACCTGCCCATAGTACCATCAAGCACATGCTTGAGAACTATTCTCTTCTGAGGATGGACAATCTGATAGTAACATTCCTCTAACTTTCTGAACACTTGAATATACTTGATGTATATGACTGCTGCTGTTTGAAATGCTGATACCCGATCCTGGACAAGATTTGATGATCAGTCAGCAATTTTAAACCCTTTAAAATGTACAGTTAAATTTAAAATGTAATTTCAAAATATGGCAAATTAGTAAAATTGTATGATGTATTTGCGGTTACCGTTTCGGGCTTTTGGGTATCAGTGCCTGCTTCATATTCAAGCAGCTCCTTGATATGATTCTGAGCTTCATTCCACTGGATATTATAGGTACTGAAACAAGTTAAATTGGTATAAAATGTGAAAATCAGAGATGAAACAGGTTCACAGCCACATAAATATAAACGGTTAACATTAAATATGGCATTTGAACCACTATAACAATTAATTTTATAGAAATACAAGCAACCAAAAGATTATATCATAGAAACAAATGATTACCTGTGTGACATAATTGAGAGGGGTACTGTTGTCAGTACATACTAGTGCCAAGCTAATGCCATTGAAATCTTTTCATCTTAGAAATTATTCCAAATTAGAATAAGAATTATAATTTTTTTCCAACTTAGTTTATTTCATAATGTGGGAAGCTGAAGGTAGGTAAGTATCAAGGTGAACTGGTGACAAATAGTCAGGAAAGCAACCCCACAAAAATTCAATGGCTTAGTGGCTGCCCCTGTTGCCTCTACCATTGTCACCTTCAACAAACTTTTAGATAAATAACCGCACATCTAATTCCAGTAAATATAGCAATAATATGAACAGTTGAAAGTTTTGATATTAAACTTTAAGCTAGTAATATTATATCTTTAACCACCTAAGTTTTATACTGAAGACACTTAGACAGATAGTTAATGCGACTTCTGATAGTACATGCTAAGTAACCCAAAGGTCCCTGAGCTGGGTAGCAGGCAAACCAAGCACTCTCTATCTCTCTCTATATCTCTGTTTTACCCCAAGCAGTGTCTTTGTTGGCAAATAAAGACTGAATAAATTTATAATCTCTGATCATTTTTTTATATCTCATGTCAATAGGTTATCTTAGATTATTATAGCTAATCACTTGCACTTTAGCCCGGTTCATAAAACAAAAATATTATCCAATAATTACGGCGATAGGCTTATCTGTTGTTCCTTAGGCCAAATAACTACCAAAAAAATTTTGAAGCTTCAACTCCAACCGGAAACACCCCCACATGCCACGCCCATTTTTTTCATCAATTTTTAACAGGTAAAAATCTTCATATCATCAATTTAGGCATGAAGGAGTGCTTTTAGTGCTCCAACAGTTTGGGGTCTAATAGTAATGGTAGAAAAAGGTTAACTTTAGTCAAAGTCTCAAGTCTCCACGGCGCTTGGTTTAGGCGCACTGGATCTCGCGTCTCGCGCCTCCGCCGCGAGATTTGTTGTATATATTATATATGTGGTAAATTACTACTATATACTGAAGGGAAAGATGAAATAAAACCATACGCATTGATACTGATTGCAAGACTTAAATAGATGATAGATCAATATTTAGTATAACAGCGTTGCATTAAAACTCAAATCAGCAATCTAGTAATATTAAAACATCATTTGTTTCTATGATATACACAATAAAACGTGTAATATAAGGACTTGTAGTCAAAATATTAAGGACATGATTGCGGTCTAAATCTAATATCAGTGAACATATGCGCGGCGCGAATATATTTATGTTTATTTACATTATTTGATGTAGTCAACATTTTATTTTTTTAGTTGCACTGTTATAAACATTTAAGATATTACAATATTTTAAATGAAATTTATTTTTCATAATGATACGCACATACAAATTATTTGTCATACGTTGTATGACCCGCCGCGCAGTGAAACGACCGTGGGGGTCGCAACGTGATACAACAAATTACAAAATGCATTATGTTTTAACATTTAAGCTTTAAAGTTAAATAAAAATTGATGCGCGCGCAAAATATAAATATTATTATTTTTGAATTTACTATTGACTATTAAATTTTTAAATTTTTAAAAATATAAACAAGTTTAAAAATTTTGGTAAAAATCCAAATTTTAATTTTGCTTGTTATATAAAACACATATATGTAAATTTTAGGTCCATGATTGGGTAACCATGCGTGCTTGTACCTAGCCTACTTGTTTTTATGTTTTATGCGCTGCGCTCTTTTTGAGGGATTGCATACATGCTTGATTCACGATGTCAATCCTTCGCAGCTTGGTGAGGCACAGTGGTGCATCTCGCCGATCTACCGAAGAAGAATTATTTGATGCGCGGCAAGACCCAGTAGTGCATCGCGCTACAACATACATGCGTGAGAGGCCAGGCTAAAAGCGAGCACAAAATAATAAACTTGTATGTTTATAGTGAAACAAATTTTTTTTAATGAAATGAAATGAGGTATTTATATCCCGCTCATATGATTAACCAACAACACAAGGAAGGTGGTTAACCATGTCAGAGCGGCTGACTGTGAGTGATGTGAGCAAAAGTGTAAAAAATGAACTAATCTAGGTAAACTATAGGTAAAAATATAATATTAATCATAAGCTAAAATGTACTAATCTTTGTATTCTAAATGGGGAAAAAGAAGAAACATTGTCAGTCAGTCGAGAAAATTGTCAGTCAGGCTATATGGCAGCTTTGTCGATGTTGTGACTATGCTAGTAGTGGTCCCAGGCTTGCGACTGGAATTGCGGTGTTAAATCGATTTAATGGTATACCAACGATCCACCTCCCACTTGTTGTTTGGTACTTAGCATTAATAGTGTTAGCTGTAGCCATTTTGATGTAAGGGTATTTCATGCCCCAGCCCCCTCCAATGCAAGCAAATCGATCCCAGCAATGTACCAGTCCCATGAAAATGAGAAAAAGCGATGTTACAACGCAAGGGTTCTTGAAGTGGAGAAAGGAAGCTTCACACCTTTAGTGTTCTCGACTTCTGGTGGAATGGGTAGTGAGGCTGAAAGACTGGTAAAAAAGCTGGCCAGTAAGATGGAGTACCACACTGGCCAGAGGTACTCGGATGCTGTAGGTTACATCAGAAAGCGCCTTCGCTTTGAAATCCTAAGAACAACAGTGATTTCTCTCCGTGGAGACAGAGGTGCGAGAAAAAACATTGTTAATATAAACAGTCTAGATCTTAACTTGGAGCCACAAGGCCAAGGGTAATTTTTGAGTGTTTAGGGAATTTTTTATATTCTTAAAGGTTTGTTTTTATATAGGGTCATTGCTATATTATGTGTATATTGTTTGAATAATTTTATTTTATTTATAGCAAGAATCTTAAAACTAAAGGGGATGACAAGGAAAAGAGGAAGGAAAAAGAATAACGGAACAAACAATTAATTAAAGTATTTACAGGAGCATTAGTTATTGTAATTACAAGCTTCAATAATAAATCACTGTATTCTAAATGGGGAAAAGAAGAAACATTGTCAGTCAGTCGAGAAAATTGTCAGTCAGGCTATATGGCAGCTTTGTAGATGTTGTGACAATGCTAGTAGTGGTCCCAGGCTTGCGACTGGAATTGCGGTGTTAAATCGATTTAATGGTATACCAACGATCCACCTCCCACTTGTTGTTTGGTACTTAGCATTAATAGTGTTACTGTAAAGTATAACTCAGCATAAGGCAAAGACAAAATTAAAACATCTTTTATTGTAAACCACACTAAACTAAATAGAAGCAGAAACCATACAGTACATGTAGGTATAATAGAGGTTAGTACAGTGACATAATCAATCAAGAAAGAATCAGATCCAAGTAAGTAAGAGATCAAGGCATAAAATGGAGTGCGGTAAAAAATAAAAGCCAATGTGTCTTGCAAAGTGAAGACAATGGAAAGAAAAACATCAGAACTGATTATATAAATGATTCTTTAACATTCGCTTGAAACAGTTGGTATCAGTGATACATCTGAACATCAGGGGAAGAGAGTTCCATGCAATCGGTGCATGGCTTGAGAAACGTCTGTCATCAACTTTGGATCTTTTATTCTTTGGTACCTTGAGCATGAGATGGTCATCAGGTCTCTTCGACCTGGTCATTGTCATGGTGTTTGAGAGTTCTTTATCCACTACATCCACATCCAGTAGTGCTTTGATGTAATAAGGTGCAGTACCGTGAACTGATTTGTGAGTTAAAAGACAAACTTTAAAGAAGATTCGTTGGTCTATAGGGAGTATGTGGGCCTTCTTATAGAAGGGAACCAAGTTCGTGGTCCTCTCTTCTATGTTATAGATGAAACGAACTGCCCCATTAAGGGTTGATCTAAGTTTGTTCAATCTGGTCTTGGGTAGATTCATGTAAAGAGAATTACAGTAGTCTAATTTAGATATGACCAGTTGTGAAACAAATTTAAAATTTTATCCTTTATTTTACAATCATAATATAATAATATTTATAAGCCTCCGTTTTGAAAGTTTTAAATTTTAATATATTCACATTTCTATTTAAAATTCAATTTAACGTTTGTAGCGCGATGCACTACTGGGTCGCGCCGCGTATTAAATAATTCTTCTCGCAACCACAAATCGGCGAGATGCGAAGGATTGACATCGTGAATTAAATTTAATGTATAAGTCAATTTAACTGGCCGCCAAAGCCGCGCATTCTTGAAAACAGAATTAACGTGTTTATGATTATACGACAAATAGAAATAAATTTAAAACAATCCGTGTTTTTTTTATAAACTGCTACTAGACGCGCGCGCTGGGTTGGATTTGTCGACACTTGACGGTCTTCTAACAAATATTTTAAAAGTATCACCCGCACGAAGTAATACAATATTGTAATAAAGCTACACAAATTAGAAAAGATTGACATTGTAAATAAATGTTTGCCTTTTAAATAAAAGAAATATTGATGTTATCAAATGCAGAAAAATATCCCTACGTTTGACGGTATAAGAAAAATTATTCAAACAATATACACATAATTGATAATATAATAACAATAACCCTATGTAAAAATTTAATATACAATTTCATTAAAACCCTTTGTTGTAGTAGTAAAAGTTGATTCACGATGTCAATCCTTCGCAGGTGAGGCACAGTGGTGCATCTCACCGATTTACCGAAGAGTGGTTGCGAGAAGAATTATTTGATGCGCGGCGCGACCCAGTAGTGCATCGTGCTACAATAGTAAAAGTAGCCAATTCAATTTGTTGGCTCTAAATTAGTATCTAAATCTGATATCTTAACTATAATTGTAGGTTTACAACCTACCAGGACGTGCGCCAAGTTGGAACAGATATTTTACGAGTATCACCCGAAAACTATACTACCACTTTTTATCCCTCTTTCTCCTCTAAGAGCATCGATTGTTGTTTTATATAAGTCGGTATTGCGATGTGGTAAGACATGTGAGGACAAGAATAAGATTCGCAAAGTTAAGAACCACACTCATTGCTCTACGAGGGTACAGAGGGAAAAAAATAGACAGCAAATATGAGAAACCACTATCAGAAGTCTCTTATAACCTCATCCCTGCCCCTATGATGGAGTAGATGTGTATATATTTGATTTT